GCATTTGGGGTATGTAGTAGCAATTCTCTTTTCTTAATTTTGGTGGGAGAATTTAATACCACAGCAATTTTTTTACTTTGTAGACCAATGTAACAAGAACCATAGGTTCATAAATACGGTCCATATAATATTACAAAAACCATGTATTAAAATAATGTAGGATTTCTGATGCTTGCAGGCTTTTCTTCTGTATATTTAGACTAACAAATTGGAACTAGATTAGACCCTATGATGAGCTAAAACCCTAGTTACTCCATGGACGACCATAGGCATTTGAAGTCTTTTGAAATATGTATTTTGTTTTTCCGCACCTAATATTAGTAGTTGGAATCTAGTTCAAATTCTGACAAAACAAAATAAAGGAATCTCGTTCAAATATAGTTCTCGTTAGTCGTTACATGTTTCTTATTTTCATCAGCCTATTAATTTTAAAACGCATTAAGAAAATATTAAATAGTATATTTCTTACATACACGTACCAGGGCTTGTATATATAGTGAACAATTAATTTCAAATATATGTAAAAAGTTAGCTAGTTGATAACATTACTGAATAATGAGATGATGAAATTAAAATAAATCTCCTTTCGCTTAGATTTCTAACCAAAGTTGTTCTCGTTAAATTTAATAGCAAAATTGTAACAAAATTGGTTTAAAACTTTCCACCATTTTGACTAGTTAAATGAAAATGAAAATGTTTATTTACCATTAGACTATCACTACTAGGTCAAATGAACTTTTATTTCAAAAAAAACAAAAGATCTTTGATTCTGTACTAAAAAAACCCAGCATATAGCCATATACTCACCAATAAATCATTTTCCTACTTAGTAGAATAATCAATCTCAATCATACATAGAAATTTGATAAACTAAATAATATTAACAATTAAACAATTTCTAGAAAAGGTAACTTTAAAACTAGTCCATAATACGAGGTATATAACACGAAGAAAGTTAGCCAAAAAGTCGTAAGCATTCAATATTATTTTCAGACAAAATATTTCATTGGTTTTGCTTTTAACAATAAAACGTAAGATGAGGGAAGCATATGCAGGTTGAGGTAGGGGACAGAGATTACAGGCTACGTGTCGAACTCTGATTCGATTGAAGACTATTTTATTAACACTTCGGATATGTTGGCGATTGAACGAAAACAGGCATACGTACATCACGTGCTGTGCTAACACGTGTCGACATAGTACTGCCTATTGACTAGTATTGATTGACACGTGTCACTCACTGTCGCATATGATGGGATGCTAATCCACTCGGACACAGTATAACGGAAGCAATTTAAATTTTGTGATTAAATTTTTTATAATTCTATATTTGATTGTGATTAACAAAATTAGATCATTCGTAACACCAAAGTAAAAATGTTAATGAAAAACTATTGATCGAAAAAATATCATTTATTTTATTAATTTTTATGTTTTCGTTATTTGGTTTACAATTAATTTTTACCATATATTTTAAAATTTTTTTCTTATTCCTATTTAAATTTGATAAATATTTTAACTATTTAATATTACTTTACTATTTAAGTATCTATTTTTGAAAATATTGATGAATTATTTTTATATTTATATTTGAACAATTTTTTCTTTTTAATATTTCATAAATTGCAAAAAAAAAAATCAAAGACGAAAAATATTCAAATTTAAATTATTTATTGAGAAATCTATCAAATATTTATGAGAAATTTCGAAAAATGTCACTTTTCAAGTGTCAATTTACAAAAATGCCACATTTTTAAAATTTTTACAAAAATGCCATTTTTTAAAATTTTTTTTTTATATTATTTATGTTTGGGTTAATTATGTTCTATTAGGGTTTAGTTTTGAGTGTTTAGGAGGTTTTAGGTGTCAAAACATTTTTTAGGGTTTAGAATTTTAAGATATAGGCTTTATAAATTTATAATTAGTGGCATTTTTGTAAATGGACACCCTAAGTGGCATTCTTGCAAATGTGCACACAAAAAGTGGCATTTTTGTAATTGCCCCAAATATTTATCTACTGTACTCTTTCTATTTGTTTTTATATTTTTGATTTTCAATTACATTATATCACATATATTCAAATAATTAAATATTTAAAATCTTATGTAAAATAGGATTACTTTCTACTATTTACCAAATAAAGATATTATTATTTTAAATATATAAATCTTTTGACATATGACTAAATCAAATTGAAAAAAATCTTTTATACTTGTATAAATCTAATTGATTAACTCAAACATGTCTCGATAAGATTGATTACATTGTATACAAATCAGAATTTGGAAATTAAAATACTTTTACCGTTTTTAATATTTAGTATACGTAAAAAAACTAAGCAAATAGTGGAAAAGTAAATTACTACACCTTATATCAATGCAGTAAAAAATAAACAAAAATTGAATTATTAGCAAATAAAATCAACTTATAGTTAGACATTAATCAAGTAATTATTAGCAAATTAAGACTTTTATTGATATTAAATACAAATACGCTAACCTTTTCATCAAGTAATAGAAAGTCTATTCCTATAAGCTCATTATTTTTCTTGAAATTTCTCGCCTCCCACTTTCTGATAAGACGTACTACAGTACGACGATAAAAACGTTTTTTATTTAACTGGACTAAAGTTAAATAACTGATGTTTTCCTTGGGTTGAGTAGTCATTATTTCGGTGATGATTATTGAAGTTAGAAATTGTTTGGTGTGAAGATTAAGAAAACACAAAAGCTTCTTATATAAATCAAAATTTATAATTTTTTTTAGATATAGGTATGTAAACCTAAATCTATTTGAAATTTACAAAAATTAATATATGTATCAAAATCTTTCCAAAATCTACATGGACTAAAGTAAAATAACAAAACCGATGGAGATAATATAGAACAAAATTTTAAAGATCATTATCAACTAAGTATTTTTAAGATAAAAATTTTAAGACTAAACTATGTTTATCAACTAATTTTTGTTAAAATAAATAAGATTTATTTGACACACATCAAAATCTAATTAGGAAAAA